CTAAATAAGAAGGTGAACCTGAAGAAAATAATGTAGTTATCCTCCTGGAGATTGGAAGTAGACAAGAGTCCCAGGCAACCTCGGGTGCATGGGGGGGGTGGGGGGGTTGTTGTAAGGGGAGAGGGTTAGAGAGAAGGGAGTAGGGGAGGAATGGGGAAAGCTCAGGGGATTGGGATGGGGGGAGGAAGGAAGGATGGATATGGGATCAGGAAAGTATATGTCTCAACTAAGGGAGTCATTTTAGGGTTTACAAGAGACTTGATTATAAAGGGGATCCCAGGTCCAAGGAGAGATCCCCAGATTGTTCTCTGGACAGAGGAGAGGGTGCCTGAAACGGCCTTGGCCCATAACCATACTGATGAATATTTTGTATATCACCATAGAAAAAAAGCACTTAGAAAATCATGAAGTTCTGAGAACAGAGAAAAAATTAATATTACAACTACAATTAATATCCTTACACAGAAAATAGAACTGTGAAATTTTCCTAGAGCAAAACAAGCTATAAAAACAAGTTAGTAATTTAAAAAAATTAGTAGAAATGAGGGCACATAAAATTGAGGCACATTGTCAAAGTATAGAATAAAATGAATAATCAGGAATAAAGATAAGAGAAATTAAAAAATTAGTAGCTCACTCTAGGATGTTTGACAATGTAAAGATGGAATTTTCTGGAAGTGAAAATGGTGTGCAAAAATTATCAAAGAAGTGACTGAAAGTTATTTTATAACTTAAAAATGTCTTCATTACATTTCTATTGCTTTGTAAAGATACGATGACCAAACCAAAATTTCATTGAGGGCTCACAGTTCCAAAGTCCTTTACTGTCATGACAAGGATCATGGGAGCAGGCAGGCAGGCATGACACTGGAGCAGAAACTGAGAGCTCACAACAGCATGGCATTGGAGCAGTGCTAAAATCTTACATTCTGATTTGTAAATTGGAGGCAGAGAAAGAGAGTGCTAACTACAAGTGTCATATCTTCGAAATCTCAAAGTCCACTTGCAATGACATACCTTCTAATCCTTCCTAAACAGTTTACCAACTATTCAAATATATGAACCTATGAAGGCCATTCTCATTAAAAAATACCACAAAAGGTATGAGTTTATGAAAGGAAAAGAGCCATTTAATGGAAGGTCAAACAAAACAAAAAGGTTCAGAAAACCAGATATTATAAACAATATTTTAGAAAATTGGAGGAAAGAGATGATCCTAAAAGTCGTTAGGGAAGAAAAGTAAGGCAAAAATAAAGACCCATCGAGAATAGAAACAGAACAAAGAGATCTCTTGGAATTAGCATCTGATTGTGATTTTTTTTCTGGTTTCTTTCTCATTTGGTAGCAGGGGCATCTCTGTTAATAACTGCTATATTCCATAGCACATCTCTAATGGGAAAGCTGATGGGACAAAAGTCAAGTTCAGGGTAATGTATTAGACATAAGGATATGAAGCCAAGACACAGGAAAAGAAATCTATTACAAGGTCTGGAGAGGTTAAAGATAGTAAAGAGGAGTTCGGAGAGCTTAACTAGCAGGGAAGGAGTACAGTAGGGGAAGGATGTTGAGCATTGGACTTTATCATGAAATAGCTGAGAATTTTGTTGGATTTCAAACTGGATTTCAAACAACTTTGTCAATATCTAAAAATTGATGTTGAGGCCAGTAACTATATGAAATAAATTTATAAGATACTTTGTGGATGAAAAGTATTAAAAGTTTTGGGGAGGAATCCGTTTAAACATTGAATTATAAACCTTAAAATATTTAGAGGTACTGATTTTTCATATATGTGTTTCTCAAATGACTTGTCACATTCTCAAATAATTATATAACATTTAAAAAAATAGTAGATCTAATTTGTCAAGAATGGAAGGCATCAAGAAATAGGAAAACTAGAATCCATAAAAATGGGAGCAAGGAGAAATGAGAAATGAAATCTTAGAGCCCAACACTGCTGATCTGAAACAGAAGGATAGAGAATTGCAACAAAGATAGCTCCAAGTAAGATATAAAATTAATAGGTTACTAAAAGGTTGTTATGTATTGGGAAATCATTTTTGCTTCTAGGATACTAGTTGTAAATTAAGTCAAAATACTCACAAGGTAATTTCTGAAAAATGAAATATTGTACAAGAAGTCTAGGCAATGATTGTCAATCTGTGACTCTGATGTGACTATTTAATCATATCTTTATAATTTAGTTTTGATATAACCATATTAATGCAGGCTTGTGTCAAATTTTCATAAATGACCTTACAGGAGTCTGTTATTTTTAACCATTACTTTAATAATCAATTGAAATATAAGATGTCACCCAAGGGGTTTAGTTTAGAACTTATGGTATCCTAGTTCAATGTGATGACAGACACACATAATGGCCACACTCAGGACTTTGAAGTAGGAGAATGATCATGATTCTAGCCCAGCCCGTGCTACAGGGCATGACTACCAAAAATTACAGGCACACATGCATGAGGGTGCACACAAGCGCACGCACAAGTGCCCACATACATGTGCACACACATGCGCACGCGTATACATACACACACACACACACACACACACACACACACAGAGGTTTCTCATTTGAGAAACCACATTTTTTCGGCATAGGGAACAAATCACTAGGCTCTTTTGGTCAATACAATTTTATCTTTTTAAATAAATATTCATGCTCCACATCATTTCTACATAACAGATTTCTCTGTGTCTCTTTGTTTAAGGGAACAGCAGTTATCATCTAGTTTTGCCTTTAGTTTGTTATTTTCCCATATAGTTAATAGAATTTCGTTTAAAATACTTTGTCATTGTAATTTGATGAGATTGAATTGGAAATGCCATCAAAGAAACGGTTAAAGCTTATGTAAATAGAAAGTGCCATTTGCATATTTAAGCACCACAAAGCCAGGATATATAAACACAGGCTCTCTTTTCAATATCAATTTGCATAAAATTAGAGCCACAGACAACATATTTATTTACAAAGTATATAACTGGTAATCACAAAAAAATTCTGGGTGCTTATTCTTTTGTACCAGTGAAGAAATTACTTAGATATTCACACTTGAATTTTTATGTCGATATGTGGAAATGTGAGTTTTCATTACAGATAAACTAATTTTCTATTCTACTATTAACACACCAGACACAGAAAAGAGATAAGCCTTTTCAACTATAGGGGCAGATCAAATTACACCTGAGAATTTGCACTGACTAGGGCTAGCCTCAAGGGTAGATATAGCCAACAATTTTTGTTTTTTTACTATTGATACAAAACACAGCTCTCATCAAAAAGAGAACAAGACAGTTTACTTTGAGCCAAAGAGGAGGCAGATACAGACTCAGATAGACCCAAATTTCCTATTTCAATAAGGGAGTAGTTACATAAACTTCTTATAGTCACAAAATAAAAGTCATTTATTGAGGTATTTCCCAAGTATATTGGCAAAGACATCAGAAAGGAGGCTTATAGAAAAACAGAGAAATCTTTCCTGTAGACTTTAGATGCTATCTGATGATATCTTTAACTTGTGGGTCTGTGGAAGGTAGCAATCTTTTAAGAAAATATTCCAAAGGTTTTATTGATAATTACAAGGACTTTAGGTTAGATTTGGGGAAAGGCAATAAATGGCTAAGAGGACTCGAGATAACTCAGATTATGTCATTTGTTTTGTGCCATTTGAACTCTAATCTCAAAGTTCTAATCGGTCCATCCCTTGCTACAGTCTCTTCAACAGAGTTGTAGCAATTTTCTAGGCAACTTCCTTTAACATTACCGACTTTATGTGATTCCCCAAACGTAGTACACCGGTCTCTATCTCAGCAGCACAGGAAAAAAACTCCCACCACTAATTCAGTCATAAATGTGTCACTTCAGTTATTATATATAATTGTTTAAATAATATTTTTGAAAGTAAGAAAGGTTTGAATATTATTTCTGGTTGTGGGTGATCTCATAAGATGCATTTCATCTGACATGATGTGACATTAGACTGGGAGCACAGACTGTGATAGGCTACAATGAAGTGAGAGGATGGCCAAGATGCATAAAAGAAACAAAGACTGGGATCGAGGGAGATGCCCTAGTTGTTAAAGCACATGCCATTCAAACAAGAAGACCTAGGTTTGTAAAACCCATGTAAATGCTGGATGGGCATGGATGCCCACCTGTGATTCCAGCCTCCAGAGTTGATGTCACGGAACTCTGGAACAGCCTGATCACCTAAAGCAACAGAGGAAGATTTCAGTATCAGTTTGGACACTTCACACCCTCTTTTACATGCACATGCAGGTTTGCCAAAGCACGTAAGACCATGCCTGCACATCCTCACAGACTGCAAATATATACACAAAGAGAAAATAAATTTGGGGGCTTGAATAATTATGTCTGTTTTGTGGTTTTTGTTTATAGCTCTATTTGATGACTATTTCAAAAATAAAATCATAATGTAAACTGTGGCAACATACAGCACAAGGCATATGCAATTATTATATAAATCTGTATCAAATAGCAGCTGCCTATTAATACCATCAGGATTGTTTTAGGGTAGCTGCAAATAAATATATTGTCAATCATCAAGAAAATTCTTAAATGTGTTTTATTGCTTAGATTCTTATTCTATCATATCACCACACAGCCTGCAATCATTCTCTGACTCCTATTTATTTCCTACACCCCAAAGACACTATTTGAATGGACTAAACTTACCGTTACCCCTTACTTTTACCACTTTTATATTTATGATGTACTGGCTATCTAATCCAAACCTCTGCGTGCTAGGCAAGAACTGTACTACTGAGAAACTCCCCATAACACCAGCAATGCATGCACATGCCAAACAAGCAAGCAAACATATTAGTCCTAAACTAACTCCTTAAGATACAATGTTGATTATTTCCATTCATAATTCAAATCCCACACATTCTTCTAAGTTCGGAGAAGTGGGATTTTTTTCTTTGAGGTAGGCAAAGTGGAAAATGAAGCACTTTCTGGCCTCATGCACTGCCGCCTTCAGTTATGTAAGTTCCTCCACTACCCATGGGTCATTTGGTATGGGAAACAAATATGTGTCTCATTCTGATAGCCTCCATTGCTATGGTAGTTTGGGTTTTCAAAAACCTCGTGAATTTTAATACCCTCTCCTAATTGCTCCATAAATACGTTCACATCTTTAAGCTTGCTTGTTGACAATATGTTTGGAAAACATGGCTATAATGTTCATAATCATGGATATCAAGAATACTGATTTTTCTGCCTCTCTGAACTTAAACATCTAGCAAAGTTTTGAATGTTCCTTCATTTGGATATTACTTATGATTTCCAGTCATCCTACTCTACCTTTGATGGTTTCCTCTTACCCAAGAGTTTCACAGCACTCCAGGGAGGAGAGGCAGAAGGGTCTCTGTGAGTTCAAGACTAGCCTGATCTACATAGCAAGGCTCAGGACAGCCAGGGCTACATAGAGACTCTGTCTCAAAACAACAGATTCTCAACTATGTCTTCTAATTGTTAATGTCTGGAACCCTCAACCTCACAGCTGGCTGTTAATTCTTTCTCTTTGTTTTGAAAAAAAAATATCTCCCCTAAGAATCATGTACATCCTCCCTCCTTTGTTTTTGTTAGATCCTGCATGTTTGTTTAGTCTCCCCTTTAAACAGAGTATTGAAAGCAGAGTTATGAGAGTAAAACATCGAATTAACAATTATGTTTTCTCCATTGCAATATTAATATTGAAATGAAAACATCAATTAAATGTTTTATCTAAATCAAATACTACATGTATGTTACATGCTAAAATTTAAAAATTACTTGGCTTTCTAGGGTAAAATTTATATCAAACTTTCAGCTATAAGAATTTTTAGGCTAACTTAAATTTCTACTAAACCCCAAATTTTCACTTTCAATTTTTTTCTTTTTATTTTTGTTTTCTAATTTTTTTCAAAATTCTCTTTTATAATTTAAACATTTTTGGGAATTTAATTCCTCTTTCTCTTTCTTCCAACTCCTCCCATGTCCTCCATTCCTTTTCATATTATTAATTAAAGTTATTTAATATAACATTTCTAACTATTACTTATATTCATAATACAAATATACATACATACACTAACACACACATCCTCCTGAGTCCACTTAGTATTACACACACACACACACACACACACACACACACACACACACACACACTCTTACATTTAAGGTTGACCACTTGGTATTGGATAAGCAATTAAGGGGGGCTCATTATTCCTGGGAAGGACTGACTATCCCTCTCTCCACAGCCATTGATTGACTAGCTCTTCATCTAGGATTGAAACCTTTTGAAGTATTCTCCTCTAGGGTTTATGACCTCACCAGTAGTTGGCAAGTTTTCCAGTACCAGGCATGAATTTGCTCCTATTGAGCAGACTACAAGTGCATTAGAAAGCTTAAATTCTTGTTTCAATCAAAAATAGAAGTTCCACTCGCTTGTTTTTTGCGTAAGTGGGTGGCGGGCCGAGCGCACGGCGGTGAGATCCGGAGTCCACTACTTCGAGCCGGACCTGAGCCTTTTCGCTGGTGGTGCGCAGGTCGGTGCGCGGCGGCCGAAAGCGCGGAGAAACCGAAAGGCGGACGCGCCGCTCCCCGCTGCTTTGCTCAGGCCGTGGGAAGCTGTACCTCGCCCGTAGACTATGGTGACCTATACCCTCCTGTGGAGGAGCCAGTTGCCACCGCTGATCCCAAAGCAAGCAAGAAAAAAGATAAGGACAAAGAGAAAAAGTTTGTTTGGAACCATGGAATCACTCTACCTCTAAAAAATGTCAGAAAGAGGAGGTTCCGGAAGACAGCAAAGAAGAAGTATATTGAGTCTCCCGATGTGGAAAAAGAAGTGAAGCGGTTGCTGAGTACCGATGCTGAAGCTGTCAGCACTCGTTGGGAGATAATTGCTGAAGATGAAACAAAGGAGACCGAAAATCAAGGCCTCGATATCTCCTCTCCAGGAATGTCTGGCCACAGGCAGGGCCACGACTCATTAGAACATGATGAGCTTCGAGAGATATTCAATGACCTCAGCAGCAGCAGTGAAGATGAGGAAGATGTCAACATCATTGATACTGAGGAAGATCTGGAGAGGCAGCTACAAGACAAGCTCAATGAGTCAGATGAACAGCACCAAGAAAATGAAGGAACCAACCAGTTGGTTATGGGAATTCAGAAACAGATTGATAATGTGAAGGGCAAGCTCCAGGAGACCCAGGACAGGGCAAAGCGCCAGGAGGACCTCATCAGAAAAGTCGAAAACTTGGCTCTCAAGAACAGGTTTCAAGCTGTTCTGGATGAACTGAAACAAAAGGAAGACAGGGAGAAAGAGCAGCTTAGTTCTTTGCAGGAGGAACTAGAATCACTCCTAGAGAAGTGAGAATGTTGATTTTCATTCTTCGACTGGTTAGCTTGAGAAAATTTTTATTTTCATAATACGATCTGAAAATTATTCTCTATTATGTTAGGAGTTTTGTTGAATTTTGTTGGTTGTTTTTGGAACTGTTGCCAAGGTTTTCATTCTTAGGAAGTAGGGTTACATAGGCAGGTGTAGGGAAGTTCTAAGATTAGGGAATAGTTGAACTTTAATCATTCACCATAGGACTTTATTACGTTTGTCTCTTTTCCAGAAGTTTTTATTCCTATTCTGTGGTGCTAAGATCAGTAAGAAACTAGCCTACAGGCAGTGAAGTTAATTTTATTTTTTTAATGTATGTTTACAGTAGCTATCTTACTAGCTACCCAGCAAGTTTTCATGTATAGAAATGTAAGTTTTTGCACAAGTTGTTTCTTGCACAATAAAAGTTACCAGTTTTTGCATTAAAAAAAAAAAAATAGAAGTTCCACTATTTCACCATGGGGACTATTTTGCCAGACTAGTCATTATGTTATTGTGGTTTTTAGAGCTGTAGCTGGGTAGGACTACTGACTGCTATTGTCCCTTGGAAGTATGCATAGCATCTTCAGATACAATTTTTAAAATTGATTTTTATTGAGCTCTACATTTTTCTCTGCTCCCCTCCCTGCCTCGCCCCTTCCCTTCAATCCTCTCCCAAGGTTCCCATGCTCCCAATTTACTCAGGAGATCTTGTATTTTTCAGATACAATTTTAACCAAAAATCTTTTTTTCTTTTTTGTTTTGTCTTGTCTTGTTGTTGTTTGTTCAAGACAGGGTTTCTCTGTGAAGCATTGGCTGTCCTGAAACTCACTCTGTAGACCAGGCTAGCTTTGAACTCAGAGATCGACCTGCCTCTGCCTCCCACGTACTGGGATTAAAGGTGTATGCCAATGTTCCTGGCAAAATAATGCCAAAATCTTTTGTTTTAATGTTTTTTAAAATTTGTTTTAAAATTTCATTTTGCATTCCAGTTTTCCCTCCCACCCGTCCACCCTTTCTCTCCCTCCTTGCCTCTCCCCCAGCCTACCCCCATCCCTCCTCCTGAATGGTAAGTGTAACCCAAAATCTTATGTGACTTTCTAGAAGCAAAAGTAATCTATTGTAATGTGATAATTTATATATAAAAACTAAAATAGCCGCATGGCAAAAATATTGTCTTAGTATTCAGTGTTTCATCCAAATTTAAGGCATAAGCAAATTTTTAGCCGGATAGTACTATTCTAAATTAAGATTTGTATAATTAAATAAAATTTTGTAGGGCACCACGCCGATCTGTGCTCCATGTGCTACCATACAGTTCGTGAACTGGGCAAGGGGCTGGAGATTTAAACACACACAGACACACAGAGACGCGGGCCATCCTTGAAACAGGAATGCCCCAAGAATGCCCCCTTTATTGTGTCCAGGGTCATCTTATATAGGGATCCTTAACTGATAGCCACGCCCCAGCCAAACCCACCAGAAACCACTCCCCTGCCATCAGGAACTCCTGAGGGTCTCATGCTCAGAGCAGCTGCAAGCACTCAGAGCATGGGCAAACAAGTTGTTTACCAGAAATTCAGGATTTGGGGGAGGGGTTCATAGCTCCCAACACAATTTAAAAAGATAGTTAATTGAAATATGTGATAACATAATTAATTTTTCATTGCAATTCACAAAGTTTCAAGTAATACTTTAATTAAAACTATATTTATTTCTATGAAAATTACATTTTATATTGTAGCCATTTCTGTGATGTTTTCACAGAAGAGAAATATTGCACTAATATATTTTAAAAGATAATTGTATTTGAATAGTTGTGTGATGATAAATGAATAAGTACTATCTGTTGGCCTGGGATAGTTAAGTCTAAACTTGGATATTTCTAAATGTCTTAGAAGCTGACTATCAAGATTTGAAAGTCCTCCCTATAGATATTTTCTTATGGAAATATGAACTTGCCCCTCGCAACTTGCAGAATATCATCAAATATTTCTTTAATCTCTGCCCTAATGTGTTCCCCTAGAAGGAGTCAGGGTTGTAGATTAGAGCTCAAGTTCCAGGAATAATAAAAAATTACCTGTTTGCAACTCTTTAGACATGTACATAGAAAGAAGGAGAACTGCGTGATATTATTGCAGTTTTGAGTTTGACTTTCTTACAAACTGCCAGATTATTGCCTACAGAGGCTGTACTATTTTCCATCCCCAACCTTATATGCTTTTCGCCTACAGGGATGTCCAACCTTTTGACATTGTGACATGATGCATTGAGCTCTTTTCATAGCTATCCTGGAATGTATGAGGACTTTGGCTCTTAAGTTGAAAATGTTGCCTTAGAGTTTTAATTCTCCACATTAGCACCTCATATGTGTGTAAATATATATGTAAATATATAATTTTCATCATGATAGTATGTAAAACATAGCATTTCCCTATTCTTTTAATTTGGATTTTCCTATATGACAAATAATTATCAACATGGTTTTCACGTACTTATTGTTTACTGGTTATTTTGTTGTTTATTTTTTATTTATTATACAAAAGTTTCTTTTGATTTGGATTGCCCTATATGACAAATAATTATCAACATTATTTTTATGTACTTATTATTTACTTGTTATCTTCTTGTTTGTTTTCTATTGTCAAACCATATTTTTAAGAAAAAAACATTGAGGACGAGACTAATCCCCAGGATCAAAATTAGTGATGTAGAAGGGACATCATATAAGTCTTGTAAAACCTCACACATGGTGAAAGTAAAGAGGCTATTGAAACTTTGGAAGATTAGTTTGTCTGACATATTGCCCTTTTAAATTAGCAACTTATGATCTATATTTAGGATATTAAAACGCACCTGTAGTTTAATTAGCTGGATTTGGTGCAATAACCGTTACTTGCCAGTAGGTGTCGCGGGCCACCTACAAAACTAACCCAGCTGGGCCCAGCGACATAGTTGGAGTCACGTGACTGGTATGAATCTGATTTTAGCGTGAAATACTGAAAGATATACTTAGATCAAAAATAGTTATTAAAAGAAATCACAAACTGTGTGTACCGTGGTGGGCCCTGATTGGTCAGCAACCGCAGTAGCACAGGGATAACAAGATAACAGCAGGCACCCAGGAAAGCCCCTATCTCATGTGAATTTCCCTGCAGTGTGCTCATGGCAGGACACAGACACGGAAGTTAGTGCACAGGGACTGGAAGCCACTCTGAGGTGAGTAATGAGATACTATAAAGAACCGCGGTCAATCTGTAGCAAGAAAAGCAGCCCCTTCGCGAGAATTCTATATCCAAATGAACTGCTGGCTCCAAGCACAGGCCACGGCTAGCTGAGGGAGGGCTCGCACTAGCCAGGTGCACTCTGAGCTGACAGTGGGCAATAGAGCCGGGAGGGGGGGGTTTCTAAAACCAAACATTGGGTGCCAGATGAAGGGATAAATCTCCTTGAACATTGCCATAGACTTTATAACTCTGACAAATAGGTATCACCTGTGCACAGAATGTTTCAGAAATTCAAGTTATATCTAGGGTTCATCAACATTTCTCCTTATTCCCATGGAGTCTGCCACCTTACTTCTTTGATGAAGGGCATAATAATCCTTCAACTTCTGTCCAAAGGTTCAAAAACTTTCTCAATCTTACAAGACATAGACATTAACAATAATAAAAAGGGCCTCCTGCCCTGTGTGAACAAGGGAAGTTTACACTTGATTTCATTCCTACAACTTCTAATTTAAGTACTATTCTGACCAAACAAATCTCAGAGCACTCTGAACCGAAATCCCTGAACACAAGAACAGCAAGATAAGGGTGACTGAGACTACTTTCTTCACTCTGGCTTATTAAACAGAGAATTCCTGTCATACATGAAGAGGAATGTGTGGATGGACCTTTACTAGATGAAGACACTGAGCCAGAGACTACTGTCATGCAGTCTTTTAGGAGATTTCTATGACTGCTGACATGCCTGACATGAACATTCAGAAGATGTGTATTCTAGGTTGTGATTTCAAGTTTGGTGCTGATGAAGAAGTGAGTGTCTGGGACTTCCTCTATTTCTCAGTGTACCATTTGACCTTCAAATTCTGTCCAATAGAAACACACACATACAACCAAGAGAGGCTGAGAGTATTCCATCCATTCCTGAGAAACTGCTCTATCCTCCTTTTAAGTTAGAGGGTCTTGGACCTTTCACCTGCTCCTAAAGTAATAGCATGAATTCTTCTTCTGCCCACTGGGAACCTGGATATGCCCCACCTATCCAAAGAAGTCTGAGAGTATCTCCTCTCCCAAGTATACTCCAACTCTTTGTTTTCTGACCAAAGTGTTCTCACACCTGCCCGCTCTAATAGAGAGATGCAGTCCACCGACATACAAAGGGTTCTCAGATCTTCTGAATATGACCCTGTGTGAGTGACTTACTAGGTCCATGTAACTGGGTTTTAGATCATTCCATTTGGACTAAAGGAGTTCCAGTCTACTGACTCTGATTTACCAGTGGGCCTCAGATCATCTCACATAGCCAAGGTTTTCTTCAGATATGTCCTTCTGCCCAATGAGTGCTTCATATTGTGCTGATTCAGGGGCCTTCCACACCCAAACATGAAGTCAAAGAACATTTTTTATTCTTCACTGATGACTTCTTCAGAACACCCAGGCTTAAAGTATGAGGACCAAAGTATAGAAAGTAAAGTCTAGAACTGATGCCCACTACCTCAAGGCAGAAACCAATATAATGTGGCCCTCATCATTTTAACCTAGATCTGAACAGCTAAACATAAGATTGAGAAGGAGAACCAGCTTGTGACTTTCATGTAGACTACTGGATGACCACTCAGACTACTGCCTCATCTACCACACATTCATTACAGTGGACAGATGTTCGAGTCTCCGAAGAAGAGCTGGAAGCTGATAAGGCAATTCCTTATCAATGTGCTCCATTGCATGAGGTTGGCTGGGACCTTGATCTCATATTAAGCAGTGGGTATGCTGATTTCCAACTTTACCTAATTCAACATGCTATTCTATATCTACAATACCTCCCAGATTTCCACATTCCTCACAAGATGCCCTCAAACATTTCCACTCTGACTGGGTTCCTTGTCTTTTCTCCAGGGCTCTTGCTTCCTCTTTCTTCCCCATGCACCTTGGCAAGCCTCTGACCTCTCACTTCTGACTTGTTGATCCCTTTTAGTACATTTCTGACTTATGTGGGAGGGCATTCAAGGTCTGAATATGAGGCCTTCAATAGTGCTCCAAATGACCAAGGGTGTATCACACATACTCTTTTCCTTTAGTGGAGTATTCCAGCTCCATATCTGGCCAAGAGAATTTCAGATCTTCCTTGTCTCTTACATATAGTGTCTGTACTAACATCCATATCCAAAAGACCTCTGGTTTTACCTTCTTTTCATTGAGCTCTATACTTTTCTCTGCTCCCCTC